CTTGGCAAAAATATTAAATATATAGTATTCAATAACCACTATTTGGACAAAATAACTTTACATCCTCTTGCTCCCTTCAGGCATTTTAAACCCAGTACTATTTGTTAGTAAGTTCAGAGGACAAAGCATACACAACCAACCTCTCTTAATTCCCGAATCTGTTCTGACAGCCCTCCAATCTCAGAATAAGAAACATTCCCGGGGTCCTCGTGAGACATGTTGTAAACCAGTGGATCCACCTCTCTTGGCAAATACCTGGAATGATAAGGTATATATTTTTCTTTTAAAAGATGTATTTTCTCTCAGCCTACAAATAGAGTATAAATGATTTGCTTCTGTAAGTTCCTGTAGGTGATCTCATAAAATCATGTTTAAATTAATTTGAAATTAGTAAAATGAGGGGGGGAGGGTATAGCTCAAGTGGTAGAGAGCATGCTTAGCATGCATGAGGTCCTGGGTTCAATTCCCAGCTCCCTAAAAATAAAGAAAGAAAAAGAAAGAAATAAACCTAATTATCCCCTCAAAAAAACAGAAACAAAAAACCCCAAACAAACAAACAAAAACAACCAGACAAAAACAAACGAAAAAGTCTGAAATTAGTAAAATGGAAAAAGTGGCAAAATATTCAGTAATTTCAACAAGAATATACTTCGGATAAAATTTCCCCCCTGTGAAAATAAAAAACTAAACAGAGTAAGAAACCTACCTCATGATAGTTAGTGTAGTCATATCCAAAGCAACTCTTGTTCCTGGCTTCAGCTTGCTTTTATCAAGCTAATTTTGTTAACAAAAAAAAAGTGTTACATAAACACTTGAAAAGAGGAATAACACTCTAACAACAGCATATTCAGAAGGCAAATAATCATTTTTACCCTTCAGAGAGAACACTAATTAATAGTAGATTATAAACACCATGTCAACAGAAAGTCTTTTAAAAGTAGTAACTCAAAGTTGTTTCCATCTGCCCCTTAAAAGAGTACCCTTTTGTGTAACCTCAGTGTGAAATGTGAAATCACTAATATACAAAGTCTGACTTGTCAAGGGCCTTGTTTTTAAAGAAGGAATGGACCACAGTATTTTACTTTCAAAAACTCATTATTTAACATAGTTTTGCTCATTATTTTGATTTAAGCACTGTAATACAGTGACTTCAGCAACTGGTACCAAAGCATTTATACAGAAATCTGTTAGTGAACATTTTGGGGGAAGGAAAGGGAAGCATCTTAAGGTGTGCTCATCATATTTATTTTAAAACTACAGCTTTTGGGAAGAATGTGTTATGTGATCATAGGAGTTAAGGGAGAAAAAATCCCCTCTGAGATTTTTATTAAAATGTTACAGAACAAACAAAAAATCCAGCAACCATCACTCATCCCTTTGCTACATGCCAGACACTGCCAGACATTATGGTAAATACATTATATATATATATCAGGTTGAATCACACTAAACAATTTACTGGCATACTTAGGCCGGGTAACTTAGTTGGGTAAAATTGGAACAGAATTTATCCAATAGATTCAAATCACACTCAGGCTGTAACTTTTCAAACATAAAGGTTACCTTTTGATAGTTTGAAAAACTGCTTGCCAATACAATTTCAGAATCACACAAATTACTGAACACTTTTCACAGGATTTTGCAAAGAGCTCTTAGTTTAGGATTCAGTGCCAATTAAAATGAAATGGAGGCAGGCAAAATACTAGATTTAATATAATGGATTAAGCTTAAAAAAAAAAAATGCCAGAAATAGCAGTTCCCCCTTATCCATGTTTTGTTACCTGAGGTCTGAAAATATTACATGGAAAATTTCAGAAGTAAACAATTCATAAGTTTTAAGTTTTGTGTTATTCTCAGTAGTGTGATAAAAGTTATGTCCTTGAGACATGAATCATCCCTTTGTCCAGTGTATCCCTCCCGCTAGTCACTTAGTAGCCCTCTTGGTTATGAAATTCACTATCTTGGAATCCTGTGGCCAGTAATCCTTACTTTATTTAATAATGGCCCCAAAGCACAAGAGTAGAGATAGCGGCCATTTAGATATGCCAAACAGAAGCTGCACAGTGCTTCCTTGAAGTGAAAAGGAGAAAGTTCTCAACTTAATAAGGAAACAATAAAAAACATATGCTGAGATCTACAGTAAGAACAAATCTATCCCTGAAATTGTGAAGAGGGAGAAAGAAAACTGCTTGTTTTGCTGTTGCAACTCAAAATGCAAGAATATGGTCACAGTGTGTGACTAATGCTGAGTTAAGATGGAAGAGACATTAAAATTTGTATAATAAATTTTGAGAGAGATCACATTTACATGATTCTTGTAACAGTATATTTTTTAAAAGCTGTTCTATTTTATTATTATTGTTAACCTCTTTCTGTGTATAATTTTTAAATTTAACTTTATCATAGGCATGTATGTATAGGAAAGAACATAGTATACATATCCCTACAGATAAGGAGGAACTACTATATACTTGAAAAAAAGCTAAACAGTGATCAATATGAAGCCATTTCTACACTTGTATCTATAGGGAATAGATACTCTGGCTTTTCTAATATTTTCCAGTTTTTAAATACTCTCCTGCCATCACACAACCACGAAATATCTTAGAAATGCCAACTTCTGGCATCCAAAGAGCCCTGAAAGGGACATAGAAATCCTTTGCTGGATTAGGCATAATAAAATTTTGATTTAGAAAATGTCAACCCACTTATACACTAAGAAAAAATCTTAAGACTGAATTCAGTTTCTGGGTTAATTCCATTCTATAGCCATGTTGTATCAATGTTTTAAAACGTGAACCTGATATAACAAATATTCAGAGAAAGCTCTTTAAATAAGTTTACAAGAACTCACTAAAGGCACTTCCCAAAGAAAAAGGTAGTACATAAATTGGCTTCAGAGGCCACAAAACGATCTAAAGCCATTTGTCAGTGTTTTTGATGATTACAAAATAAAATTTGGAGTTACTTCAATTTGCCTACTCTAATCTAAATGAAATCATACAAAATCAATTTAAGCTATAAAGTCTATACGTAACATTTCTGAATGTTTAAATATAAAATATAATTTATAAGGTCTAGTACTTTTAAGTCCTCTTCAAAACAGACATTAAAAACAAAATGATGTGATATATTTTCCAGTTCTAAAATTCTTTGATTTCTCAGTGTTTAGAGCTGACTGAGGCAATGTAATAAAGTAGAAAGTAGAGAATACCAGGAGTCAAACACATGGCTTAAGTTCAGGCTTTGCTAATAATTAGCTATACCTGAACAAGTCACCTCTGGGAGTTACGGGCATAATGTCTGACTTGCTTAACTCAAGAGTCAAATAACTTATATTAAAGTACTTTTGGCAATTATAAAGTACTGTACAAATGTAAAATGTTACCTGTCGACGACAACCCACAACATATCTTGGTCCGTTTGTGGCTTTAACAATGACTAGAGGAAGAAAATGAAAAATTAATTGAAAAAAAAATACCCAAATTGATGGCACTTTGAGTTTCACTTGTTAAGACAACAGTTGAAAGCAAACAGTCTATGCAAGAATATCATCTACCTTCATCATAGATATTAAATAATAAGCATTTCAAAACTTGGTGGTGGGAGGGAGGGGAGTCTGCTTCTTCTTTACTAATTAACAATCTAATACACTTACATTTTTCTTCAGTTAATTGCTTAAGTACTTCACCCACAATCTAAGGGGGAGAAAAAAAGCATTACTTGTTGCCAACAGCTAAAAAATAAAGCAAATTACCATTACCCTCACAAACTCCATTACCTACCTGCCCAACACTTTGTAGGGCCTTCAGATCATTTTCAGACTTTTCATACTGCTTGGTAAGTTCTTTTAATTGTTCCCTTACTGAAATAATATAATTTGAACATTTTAAATTAAATAATCTTAAAGAGTTTAAGTCACTAAGTCTTAATTTACTTAGGTTTAATTAAGCCTATTTCACTTTACATACATTTTATATCAAACCGCAAAAAAAAATGCCGTTTGTAGATGGCATGTTTAAAAATGAAATGTTTCTGTGAAAGCACCATATTTTTATTTTCTTGATCGGTAATACTTGTTTGAGCACATTTTAGGTTACATTCTTAACAGATATTAACACTGACACCTCCGGATTTGAGATTACAAACCAGAATGATAAACCAGTTAGACCCTTTCCCACTTCTTCACCTACCCACATGGATTGCTACTCTCTGGCTTTCTAACCAAAATAAAGTCAACAGGCACAGTACTCCACAGAATGCTATGGTTAAGGTCTTCCTTCATTTAATTAAACCACTCAGGCTTTTCAGTGACGGTGCACTAAGAAAAAATTAAGTACTCTCAGTTCTGGAAGTAAGGGAAACTTCTGTGTGCCTGACAGAGTACAACTCAAAACACGAGGAAAGAAGAGGAGAACCATTAACGACCGATGGACCTCTCTCTCTTAAGCTCCGCGTTCGGCTTTCCATTCCACTAACAAGTCAACCTCCGAGCCTCCTGTCTTCCTTGAGCTTCCTCGACTCAAGTCTCATGTCCCGCTCCGGGTCCTGGGACTGCACCAACACTGCACTCCCTGCTCCTCAACCTGGGAAACATCCCTGACCCACTTCTTCCCCACTCTTCCTCTGGTCATCTTTCACTTCCATCTCAGAACTGGGGATGTTCCCTCTGTCACCTGGACCAGACTGGGCCATTTCCACCCGGGAAGAGGCTCTGCCTCCCAAGCTCTCGGCGGGATGACAAAGCGCCTTGTCCCTGGACCGAGGCCTTTTCATCCCGGGGCTCAGTCGCAGAGCTCGGCCAAAGGCCTCCGCTTTGGCAGAGACAGAAGCGGGTCCAGGCACGAGATTGTGTGGAAATAAAGATGCACTTACACTCCTTGAGACGACCGTCGATCTCCTTGTGCTCCAGCAGCTTCTTGCGGTAGTCCTGAAGCGCCTTATCTCTAGGGTCCGCCATGATGAGAAGCCGTCGCTCATAGGGGATGCCGGGAATGGCCATGGCCGCCTGGGCGGGGGAAGGGGCGGGGCGAGGGGGAAAGAGCCTCCCTGGAAGGCGGGTTCGCAGACGACCCCGCCCCTTCCGGTTGGCTCCTTCTCTGTACTCCTCTGTACTCCTCTACTCCCAACTTCTGCACCTCGGTGCACAAGGGCGTCTGCGTGCACCGAAGGAGACCTCCGACTACACCGACCCCTGCAGGTCGGCCTGAGGAAAGCAGGGCGCTGATATTCTGGTTGTCCCCTGAGTGGCCTTGGTAATATTCTTAAGTCACTGCTGTCCTGGCACCACAAAAGACTTTGTAACAAACTGAGATGGGAGTGAAATAGGGAATGTACATATCTCCCTAGATAGCTCTGACGGCTTATCCGTATGACACAGATAGCCTATTGGTATAATACAATACTATCCAGGAGCTCCAGGTACAGAAGGAGTAGGCTGTATATTTATTAATTCATTCAGTGAATAAGGTACTAGGGATTCGACCTGGTGGAGAGATAAAAAAATAATAATTTCAAAGTGTAATAAATATTATACTATAATGGAAATAAAACATGGTGTGTTATAGAGTAAGGTGAGTAGAACTAATTCAGGGCAGATATCTGAGATAAGGATCCAGGCATGCAACAAACTGGACAAAAACCTTCCAAACAGAGGAAACCGCAAATGCAAAGATCTTAAGGTGAAAAAGAGTTTGGCTCTCTTCTTGGAACAGAAAGGAGGCCAATGAAACCGGAAAAGTATGGGTTGTAGAGATGAGAGACACAAGATAAAGATGCTGAAGTAGGCTGAGTAAGGAACGTGAAGTCTGACTGAATTGTCTTTAAGGTTTCTGTGCTTTGGGGCGGATTACTTAATCTCTCAAAATCTCTGTTAAATGAGCATAAAATGTGTACCTATCTCATACGGATATCATAAGTATTAAATAAGATACTGTGCCTGTAAGCTATTAACACAGCTCGTACATAGTAAGTATTCAATAGTGTTATTTTAAACTATTTACTTTAGGGATTGTAATGACTTCAATTTTTGCAGTGCAGGTCTGCATTGCTGTACCTCTTCCCAGCATTACTTTCAGGGAGAATTTATTGTTGTTCCAACAGAATCAGTCACATTTCCCCAGAGAGGCCCCATTTGATCTCATCTTAACTAGGTACCATGGATGTTTGAGTTTAAATAGGTATACTATATATGTATTATATATATAACATATATAGTCCAAATTTAAGTGAATTAAGTTACTAAAACTTTATTAGGAAATCTAAAATATTAGGAAATGTAAAAGATGCCTTGAAATTTATTTGGAAAAAATCATGTGGGTATTGTGTGAATAGTCTATTCCATTTTTTTCTAAATATAACTGGGAATTGCAATAACAATAAGGAAGGTGGATTAAGCAGGGTTTGTCCCTTCTCCCACTCATTTGCAACTATTCCAGTCAAACTAGTCCATCCATACCAGAATATATCATCTTTGACAACAAGAAATAAAAGAGAATGAGGCAGAGAAAAAAAGACAGCTCAGTTTGGTTCAATTCAATAAATATAAGCACTTACCGGTGTGTGTGTGTGCTTATAAAATACACCGATATTTTAAACTCCCTTTACCCTTGTTATCTCACCCATCTGGCAAAATTCCAACTTCAGCTGAACCTCTTATCTATTTTCCCCATGCCTGCAACAAAATAGCCCTGTTCCTTTTTTATGTGCACCTCTAAGACTGTATCCCTTTCCATTGTAAAATGTAGCTTAATTGGTAGTTATACATCATTCATAAGTGTGCTTAAATCTGTCAGTGTGATTAAATGTGTCTTTTGCCCATAGTAGATTATAAGCTCCAGGAAAGCAAGAACTGTGACTATTTCTTGCTCATTATTGTAGCCCCAGAGGATGGTTTTATATATATATATGCATAAACTAATGAATGGATTTGTGAATATGTTAGACATGCTGATAGGTAAGCAGAGATACAAAAAGGCTAAGAAATGTCATCAGTTTTCAGGTAACTTAAAATATTGTAGAGTAGAGAAGTGAGGTGAGAAGCTAGGATATATCTTAGTTTCAGAGGGGGTGGTCATCAAAAATGATGTCATAACAAACAGTGATGAGATATACTTCAATCTTCAAAAAATTATTAAAGGAAAGTCGCCTAACCTACTTAACTATAATGTAGCATCGATGGGTGGTGTGGTTTTAAAATACGTACACAATTTTTTTAATACTTCCCGCTTCAAGAAGTGGAGCCTAATTTCCCTCCCCTGGATCTAGCGACTTGTTGGACAAATAGAATAAAGTGGAAGTGACAGTACACAACCACTGAGACTAGGTCATAATAGGCACTGGGTTTTCTTACTCTCCCTTGGATCACTCCCTCTGGAGGAAGCCACTGTCATGCCAAAAGGATACATCAGCAAATCTATGGAGAGACCCATGTGGCAAGGAATAGACAGCAAGGAACTGAGACCAGTAGCCAAGTGAGTGAGCCATCTTAGAAGCAGAGTCCCCAGCCCTAGGCAAGCCTTCAGATGACGGAAGCTCTAGTCTTAATTGCAACATCATGAGAGACTGAGTCACACAACCCAGTTCAGCTGCTGGCCCACAAAAACTGTGAGATAATAAATGTTTGTTGTTTTAAGCCATTTAGTTTTGTGGTAATTTGTGACATGGTGATAAGTAATACCAAAGGAACTGATAGTTTTCTAGAGAGAAACTGGGAAACAGTACTAGATAGGCAAGTAGCAACTACTTTTGCTCATGCATCACCTATAACACTTGAATTTTCAGAAATTTGTCATTCCAAATATCTACCCCTAAATACTTACCAGAATTCAGTCAATTGTTTATGACTAAACAGTAAGATGTTGAGGTAGGAACAGAAGCTAGAATTCCTAGGCTTCTGGGAAATACTCTTCTTGAATCAAAGTAATAGATAATGTTTTTTTTTAGGCACTACTAGGCTTAGACTGATAAAGAGGAGTCTTCTGTCTTGCTCTATTCTACCCCTGAGTCTCATTCTCCAATCTTAAACATGTTTCTTTTGTATTTACCTCTATATTTCTAAGTAATATGCTTACGCTGCTATTTCTTGATAGATCGATTTTAGGATTTATCTTTTGACTTCCTAATGAGAAAGATAAAGATTCAGCACCTTTATATGACTCCAGATCCTCACTTTCCCCATCCATCCCCCAAATACAATATATACAAGTTTTGGTTAAATCTCTGTCCAATATTTGTCTTACTGAGGGGCTACACAAGTCAAGCAATATACTATAGTTACATTTGCTTTATTGTAAGACTCTTTTGAACTTTCTGTAACTAAAACTGCCTCAAGTGACACAAACTTATTTACAGAACAGAAACAGACTCACAGACATAGAAAACAAGCTTCTGGTTACCAGGAGGGAAAGTCGGGGGAAGGATAAACTGAGAGTCTGGGATTTGCAGATACACACTACTATAAAATAGATAAACAACAACGTCCTACTATACAGAACAGGGAACTCTACTCAATAGCTTGTAGTAACCTATAATGAAAAAGAATACAAAAAAAGAATATACGTATGTGTGTGTGTATAACTGAATCACCATGCAGTACACCAGAGACAAACACAACATTTTAAATTGACTATACTTCAATTAAAAATAAAAAAATAAGCTGACTCATTTAAAAAATATGCTTAATTGTTGTTTTATTGTTAATCACTTTTTCTTCCCAACTTTACAATACAATTGTAAAAGTCCTCCAAATAGTGTTTTTCAGAAAGGCCCATCAGGTATCCCGCAAGTGCTTATTTTACCTACAGACCCCCTCCTGGAGACCTCCCTCTTCTTGCTCTGATCTGGGCTCTGTACGGACGCTGCATAGCTCTCTTCCAGAGCTTCTCTGCCTCATTTCTTGTGTGCTACCTTCTCTTTCCTGATACCCAGGTCCCCTCATTTTTGGTTTACTCTTTGGTTGGTTGGATCATATCCTCTCAGTGATATTCCGAGAAAGGATTTAAAGATGTACATTATTCTTCATATCTAACAATATCTTAATTCTACTCTCATACTTGATAAATAGTTTGGCCGGCTACGGAATTCTCTTAGAATTTTGAAGGCCTTACTCCATTGTGCTGTAGCTTCCAGTGCTTCTGTAGTGCCCTTCTGATTCTCAAGTTTTTGCAAGGGAGTAGGATTTCTTTTTCTTATTTCTGGAAGTCTTATCCCTGTTAGGGGCATTTTTAATGCACTGATTGAGCATTCAGTGATCCCAATGAATCTAGACAGCCATCCTTCCATTTTGGCTATTTTCTTGAATCTCCTAAGATTATTTCCTTTCCTCTGTTTTCATGTTCTCTCTTAGTGGTATTCTTATTGGTCAGACTGTTCTCCTGGAATTAATCCTTTTTTTTTCTTTCTCTTTTCATTTATTTCAACCTCTTTGTCTTTTTACCTCACCATCTAGGAGATTTCTTCAACATTCCTTCTAAAGTTTCTGTTGATACTTTTTATTTTGGCTATCATATATTTAGTTTCCAAGAACTCTTTCTTGTTCTCTGGTTGTTCCTTCTTATAGAATCCTGTTCTTATGCCTTTGATGATATTGATTATAGCTGTTTGTTTGTCTTCCTTTCTTCCCTCTTTGTTTCCTCAGTTTCTTTTGCCTATTTGTTTTGGTCTCTCCATTTCATGTAGAGGCTTTCCTTAATCACCTGTTGAGCCTTGGTTTTCTGATCATAGAGTGAGTGAGGCACTGAAACAAAAAGACAGTAGAATTCTGAGTGTGTGAATGGGAGGAATCAGCTATTTTGGTGTTTTTAATGCCATTGTTTATTCCAAAGAATTCTCCAGTCTCCTTTTAGTTCAGGGCAGGATGGAATCTGGCATGATGGGGAAGGTGGAATGCAGAGCACATGGTCTGCAGTTTTGGAGCTGAGTGTTATAGGCGGTCTGCTGGAGGTGGGAAAGGGCTTTAACATTCAGCATGGAGGGACTTCACTTGATTTACATTTTTTTTCATTTTAGAACTTTCTCTCTCCCCTCTCCTTGGGGTCGTGCTGAGTCTAGAGTCTCTGAGTTTGTAGTCACTCTTGATCTTGAAATGTTTTCTAAATGATTTTAGATAATTTATATTTTATTCTAATGGATCAACTGATAGTTGAGACTCTACCATGTCATCAATTTTCCCACATCCATACCTTTTGTGAATTTTCTACTGTCAATGACAATGCTATTGTGTCCTCTCCACCATCCAAAATTATTTCTGCCCAAAATGATCACTTTGCCTCTAAATTTATACGGGTTGGTTGAATTGTGATCATATATTACCTGTGGAATCTCATGCTGTTATTATCTCTTTGTTATTAGTTTGTCCTACATTGATTAATTCACTCAGAAGTCATCTTGTGCAGCACATACACAGCTCTAAGTGCTGGGAAAACTGAGACTACCAAGGCAAGTTCCTGACCCATCTGTTGAATGTGAGAAAGCTACACATAAGCATGTATTTGATTCCATGTGATAAGCACAATTATATGCCCTTTGGGAACCGAAGAAGAGGAACTTAATACAACCACAGACGGGATTAGGGAGGACTTCCTAGAGGTAGCAGTTGCCTGAGTTGACTCTTAAAGGAATTAGTCAGGTGGGGCAATGGAGACAGGTGTGGGACAGGGTAGACTACATTTCAGGAGTGGAAACAGGGTGAACAAAGACGTGGAAGCTAGAAACAAGGTCTGTATGGGGAAATTATTAGCTGTTCACTAACTATAAGGCAAAGAGGTGTTGGAGATGCTCTTTCAGGAACCTGAGGAAAAGAAGGTGAAGGTAGAGCTTAGGTGCATGTCTCCCCAACTCAGATGATCTCAAGCGCTTGACAGAAAAGCCTAGCAATATAGCATGTGCACATTTATGTTCAGTAAATATTAGATAACTGGATCAAATCAAATACCAGCACCAAATCTGCGATTTTTACTTAGCCTTCTTTCCTCTTGTGTGTCATAATAATCCTTTTCCTGGGCCAAATTTTTTCCTTTAAATCATTTCCTTAACAGTCTATTCAATGCTAGAAAATGTTCATGTACTGAGAAGCTTCCCACAGAAATCTCTATGTCCCATTTTGAGAAATTGGGCTCAAGCCATTTCCTGCCTTGGTCATTAAAAAAAAATAATAGCTTGCTATTTGCACAGTAATCAGAATTCCATCAAGAAATGCTGTGTACATCAAATCTAAGTCATGTTATTGTTATGAGCACTAGTGTTAGAATAACAAGGTGGTGGCCTTGTTCATCTCCTAAAAATTTAATGTTGTTTAACAAAGTTGTAATAGATGAGAGGTTGGACTTTTAGAAATCAAAGGTTAAACCATGTACCATGTGGGTGCTCCTTAAATAGTTATTTGATGACTAATCCATTATTTCACAGGCCCAACACAGGCAAGATGATGCCAGAGCAGGCAGAGTAGAAGAAATACACTCACACAAAGGACCAACTCGAAGCATTCTCAGGGAGCTGTCAGTGATATTTATACCACACATACAAAACTGTATTTTACACATTCTAAAATCCCTTGCAAGTCTGAAAGGAAAAATTGTAAATATCAAGATAACAAAGTAAGATCCAATAATTTCACTCCTGGGTACATATCTGGATATTTGTCCTTCCATGCTCCTGGCAGCGTTATTCACAATTGCCAAAGTATGGAAACAGAACCTAAGTCTCTGTCAATGGATAAATGGACAAAGAAGACGTCGTATACATATGCGGTAGACTATTATCTAGCCATGAGAAAGGAAATTCTGCCATTTGCTACAACATGGATGAGACTTGAGGGCATCATGACGAGTGAAATAAGCCGGAGAAAGAAAAGTACTGCACGGTATCACTTATTTGTGGAATAATTAAAAAAAAAAGTCAAACACATAGACACAGAGAGTAGAAAAGTGGTTGCCAAGGGGTGAGGGGGGTGGATAGGGAAAGGTTGGTAAAAGGGTACAAACTTTCAATGAAAAGATGAATAAGATCTGAGGCTCTAATGTATTACATGGTGACTATAGTTGACAACACTGTATGGTATAATTGACTTTGCTGAGAGAGTTGAACTTAAATGTCTTCACCAAGTGGGGAGAAGGGTAAATATGTTCATTAATTCGATGGAAGGGGCCCTTTACAACTTATTCCTGGGTCATATCACTGAGATGTACACTTTAAATACCTTACAATTTTATTTGTCAATTATACCTCAGTAAGGCTGGGGCGGGGGGAGCCAATAAAGTGAAAAAAAAAAGTCTTGTACCATGATTGTTTCTGATTATAAATTTTCTAGAAATTTCTTCTGGGCAAGAGTTTGAGTCTTATGGAATAGAGAGTCTTCATCCTGGGAATACTGATGCTTTTAAACTTTCCTAAATTACAGGCTATTGCATCAGAGTGAAATCCAGAGGTGATTCATGTTCAGATTGCTTCTGATTGTAATTTCATTTAGTTTCCCCCTTTTTCACCCTGTGCCCCTCATTTTTGATGGCCTAATAGTTCAGATATTAATACTGTGGCCATATGAAATAGTCAATCATGTGCAAAGAGAAGCTCCTTGTTAAGATTTCTGGGAGTTACAGGCATGTTTGGGACATAATCCCTGCTTAAGGAGTTAAGAGATTACAATTTAGTGGTAGAAACATAAAGTAGAAATGTCACAAAGATTACATACTAAATTCCATGGGGATTACGTATTTAAATTCCATACTAAAGTCCATGTGCAGGAACTGGGCCTTACACATCGTTATATATCTAACATTAAGCTCAGTCTGGCATGACATAGGTTTACTGAATTGAAATTTATTTAGACCTTGGAACTGGGTGAAGAGTTAAACAGGAAGGCCCACAGATGAGGGATCAAGTGAGCTGGGTCTGGCCCTAGAGGGGTAAGTAGAATCTGTACACAGTATAATGAAAAAATAACTTTCCAAATAAAGAGGGAGATTGTATTAATATGCACATGTTGCATGTTGTAATATGTGGCATACAGCTGGTCTGGCCCACCAGGATCTCAGATGGTTGGTGACTTTTTAATTACATGTCAGTCCACTTGGCGGTGAAGGACAGACTATAGAGTTTGAGTCTCACCTCTGCCATACCAAGTGATTCTGAATAACTAGATGAACTTCCTATGCCTGTTTTTCTCAGCTAGAAAATAGGAGTATAATACCTACTTTGGGCCTACCATATCCTACCATATCCTACCATACCCTTCATTAAACAATGGCTTTTTAAGGAAAAAAAAAGATTTACAAAAAAAAAATAGAAATATTTGAACATTTAATGTGCAAGATGTTGGAAAGCATTCTAGTTTCACCTTGAAAATTTCTCCTTAAAAAAAACCCTAAAAACAAACAAACAAAAGCTCATAGGCTAGTCCCATGGCTGGGAGCAGAGGACCTGACTCTTATCACTGCCCCTGCTCACATCACCTCATCTCTCTGGGCCTGTTTCCTCCTATAAAATAAAGACTAACCTCCTCCTATGCTGTCTCATATGGTAGCCACTTGCCACATTTGACTGAAATATGACTAGTCTGTATAAAATACACACCAGATTTCAAAGATAAAAATAAAAATTGGTATTTTATGAATTATTTAACATTGAGTGTATTTTGAAATATTTTGCACATATTGTGTTACATAAATCTATTATTAAAATCAACTTCGCCTGTTTCCTTTTGCTCTTTTGATGTGACTACTAGAAAATCTAAATGACACATGCACCCCTGGCCTAGATGATCACGAACATACCCCTTTCAGCTTTAAGGCTCAGCTAGGGCCACTGTGGACACGTAATTCACGCTTTGATTTCCTCGCACGGAGATACGGAAGGATTGGACGAGAGCGAGCGGGGTGGGGCGGGGCCCTGCCGGAAGACACAGACCCCGCCGGCTTTCGCTCCCGCTGTCGGAGCGGGGAGGGCCCCGACTCCCGCGCGGGGCTGGGGGCGGGCAGTCGGGTCAAGTCTCCAGGCCCCGGGCGTTCAGGGGACCGGGGACGGGCACGGC